GAATTGATTCAGAGAAATTTTCAAATTGAGTTTCGAAAGTTTCTCAGAATTGTCTTAGTTTTTCTTCAAAGAAAATCGTGGCGATTAAATTCGCGACGATCGGCGAGCAAAATCGCCAGGTGTGTCGCTGGCTCAATTAGTTTTAAACTGCGCGTCGCGAAGATAGATTATTGCTTTAGTTTTGCTTTTCACTTAGAAGTTACGCAATCAGAAAGTGTCTTAATTGTACACCTAAAAAGTACCGAGTGCGCTTACTAGAAAGTATTATTTAGTCCTCCCGGTGCGTCCATGCACATGGGGCTTCGGCCAGAGGACTCCATTGATTTCTGTCGGTTGCCAATCGGTCAAGCTTCCCACGTGTCCAGCCTCTGTCCTCATTTCCCTTTCTACGGTTCTCCTCCAAGTTTCCGTGGGCGGCCTCTCTTTTGTTGGCCGTCGGGACTCCTTTGGAAGACGACTCTGGGCGGGGCTTATGATGGCATTCGGAAAGTGTAGATAAAGAGTATTTGTCGAAGGTCAAACGAGCTATGTGTGGGCGAGTTTCCGTTAACAGCGAGACCCGAGTTTTAATGATTTTATCCGTCGGTTTCTTGATAGGCAATGCTGCTCGAGCACGTCACTGGAGATGTAGAATCACGGTATTTGTACGAGGTACTAGCGGAAGCTAGTTTGGTATTTCCTGGAGTTTTCCCTGTTATGTGAGTACTCGAAAAAAACTCTTATTAATCTATATTATCCTAGTCTTGACCGCGACCCCCATATATTTGTTGGAGGTACAGTGAAACATCGCCAACCCTTTCTATACTTGTTTATCGATCGTCGAGAAACCAAAACAAGGAAACCACAGAGACCAATCAAAAACAAAGTTAACATTATCGCGAGGCAATGAGAATCATGATTTCAAAAGCAGGAGAGGCTCATAGAGTAATTTTGGATCAAGTGTCGAAAGCAGTCCGATATTGCTCTGGTATTGCTTTACTTCGGTCTGTGATTGGTCCAGAAAACTTTCAATACCTTGTATTAGCTTAGTCTTGACTGCTGCCCATATACTTGGCGCAGGTACTGTGTAACATCGCTAACCTTTATTTCCATACTTGTATAACATGTAACTCATTTTTACGATATTAGCACATTACCCAGCAAACAAATCATGACAAAAGACAGCTTGATCTGACACTAAATTAACTAAACTACTTCAACAGGAACGGCATAGTAGTAAGAAGAGAGGAAAACGAATCAGTGCCAAATAGTATTTTTAACTCTTCAGCACAAGCGTCTCTTCGCCCTTGAGAAGTTTAAAGCGTCCGGCGAGAGGTCTGTGAGGGGTCTGGCACTGTACTTGGAAAACAATGGCATCCTCGTCGGCCCTCATTATTAGTGCCAGACCTCTCGCCGGCTGGCGTCAAATTTTTCTCGCAGGCGAAAAAACGCACGTGCTGCAGCTGGAATAACGAAGACCTGCTCTTAGAGGGAATTTATCGCCAACCTTCATTAAAGTCTCAAGCGAACCGTACTAGACAAATTTTTCTTGTGTTTTTGCAGTTATAATCTGTTAGACTCGGATCTATCCATTGTGCTCGGCCATTCTGATGATGTAGCCACTCTGAAAGCGATACAGACAATTGTACACTCGATGAGCGCTGTCAAGCTAAATGACGATCCTGTTATGAAGTCAAGCTATCTATCAAGTAAGTGAAAATCAAAGTACCGTATGCAATTATGTTTAATTTCCAGGTGATGAGAAACGAAGAGGTTGATAAAATAATTTCAGTTATAGGCGAAGAAGTCTCTGTTTTCAATGTTATGAGATTATTTGTTTTGCTCGCGCCATCATGACGGCCTCCTGTGCGAATTTTAGGCGTCCTCTTTTAAGGAGAGATTAATTTGCTTGTGTTTTTGCTTTTCAGCGTTTGGATTTTCCGGATTCAGTCACTTCACGAGGTTCAAGGTAGGCATTGTGTATTAATGCGATTCAGTTCAGTTCAGAGTGACCTTTTTGGGTCTTGAATTGATATAGTTCACCTCCAGCTATTGTAGGAACGAACCTGAGTCTCCCTCCGAATTTCAAACCTCAGACCTTCGCATTTCGCAGTCTTATAGTCTACCACTGAGACAGAGAACTTTATGAAGAGCTAACTAGGCCATTACAAGGTTCATTTGAAACAAGGCTCCTGCTATTTGTCAGAATCTAGAGCTTTGTGCGGGTAAATATCTTTGTAATTTTCTTTCCACAGGAGCACAGCGGTCAGGCAAACCGTGCGCAGCTCTTTGTAAAGTTTTTGGAAGCTGTAGTAGAGGTTTATGGTATACCAACGACCGATCAAAAAACACAACGTTCAGGTTCTGTTGCGTCTGTCAAACCAATACTTCTCAGCTCTAGCACTGAGGACCTGAGGGTGGCGTCTTCCGGGTCGTCTCTGTCTTCTTCCCTCAGTTCTCTGTCTGGTGCTGCACCTGGTAAGCACCTTTTCATTCCATTGCCGTTCAAGCGCTCATCGTCTTCATACCGAGCGAAGAAGGCCGATAAGGAATCTCCCAAATTCCGACGGAACTGGTCCACTAGGGGAACAAGAAGTCCCTCTTCTGGGAAAGTTACGAAGTGATAAGGCAGTCAAAAATCTGTGGGGGGAAGCACAGGCCAAGTTGCAGGACAAATTGTCCTTATTACCAAGGGAAACGTCTCTCATCGACAACCAAGCTCTTGCAACAAATACCAAACCAAATGAACGACGACTGTAATGGGGAATTTGAAAGTTGGCTTAGGGCTTTAAAACGAGTGAGAAGGAGTCAGCTAGATAGACTGTAAGCCTTGCTTGACTCGGATTGGTTTCCATTATGCAAGCAGATGTACGTGAACTCTTCTTTCCGAGAGGCTTAATTTTCATCCTGACAAAACGCAGAAGTAGCCGAGAGAAACCAAACAGAACACCTATAAATGCGTTTGTGGCTCGCTTTGAGTTTTTCATCTCTTATTGGTACTAACTTCCGCAGGACTCAATTTTCGCTGTTTCAGAACAATCGCGAGATTGAAGTCCCGCGAGAAGCGGTTGGTGTGAAAACAAGAAACACAAAATTTCATGATTTGTTAAAAAATTATTTTAGCAAATTGCATACAGTCCATCGTTTACTATACTTATAGACCAAAGAATGCTTTGGCATTCTTATCTGGTTAACGCCGTCCCTTTTTTCCTATTATTCAGTTTAATGCTGTTATTGGTGCTGTTATTGG